GATCCAGCTTCACTTCGTCACACGCGACAGCACCACCTGATACAGCCATTAAAAACGCTGCTGTAGATCGCAGCCAGCGGTGTCCCAACTCTCAAAACAGCTACATGCAGTGTCAGTGTGATTGACTGTTGGCTGTGTTAATCGGTGACCTGACGAATTGTTTACCTGCTTTTGGTGTCCGTATATCATCACCATGCAACCGATAATACTAAGGTTTGTATTGACGAAGTTGAAGTTAGTCAGCTGAAGATCTGGTCATCAGGACCATGTGATCCTGCGTATGTTGAGAACGCTGGTCATTATCGAGACCGAATGCCCCCAGTGCCTCGTCGACTACCAGCTTTTGCCCTGCTACCAAATCTGGAGCTGCGGTCACCGAGCAGTCTTTGCTCATTTCCAAATTTCCTCATTCGAGCTCACATCCAGCAGCTCAAGTGCACACGAAGACTTTCAAGAACAAGACAAGCAAAGAAATGATCAGCAGCAACAAAATCACCGCCTTGTGTCTCGCCGTCGTGGCTCTGTCGAACGGCGCATACGCTGAAGAACAAGCCGCTCAGACGTTCGGACTCCTGCATGGCGGTGCAGGCTTGTACGGAGCTGGTCGAGCAGGTGCTGGCGCGGGACTCTACGGACGTGGTGTCGGTGTCGGTGTCGGTAACGGATACGGCGGGGCTGGCATTGGGGCTGGTGTTGGTGGTACTGCTGGTCTGGGCGGAACTGCCGGTCTCGGGGCCGGCGCCGGGCTCTACGGACGTGGCGCTGGTATCGGCAATGGATACGGCGGGGCTGGAGTCGGTGGCACTGCTGGCATTGGAGCTGGCGTGACTGGCACAGGAGCTGCTAATGCTGGTGTGGCTGGCACCGGAGCTGCTAATGTTGGCGTGAACGGAGCCGCGAACGGAGGAGTCAGCGGCGGTGCTAATGGTGGTGTGAGCGGCACTGCTGGTACAAACGCAGGAGCTGGTGTCGGTGGTGGCGTGAGCGGAGCTGCTAACGGTGGAGTGGGTGGAACGGCCACTGGTGGCGCGAAGGCGAGCACCGGGGCCACGACTACAGGAGCGGGAACTGCCAACACCGGCGTCACTACCCAAAAGGGATACCGCAAGCTTCGCACGGAGTGAACCAACTAAACTCGAGTGTACGCTGAAAGCTCAGACACCGCGTTCATATTGATGTCAATGCGTTTGTGTAATGTAAAAAAAGTTTTTCCTTTGTTATTTGTTGTCGTTTGATACCAGGAAAGTAGTCATCACTAGGTATTCATATCTGTCCTCACTTCTTCCACGCCGGTGTGGTCATGTGAGCCCCACGCCCTCGGCCGCCTGGACCCGGAGCTGCTGGAGCTCCAAGCTGCAGCTGTACGGGTTCTCCCGTGGGGAAGTTAAACCCAGAGACGCCAGCACTAGGTGGTGAGTTAACCCCGTAATTTTCCCCATAGAACTCGTTAACCAATGCAGCCGCCCACTTCGACAAGTATTCTTCTCCACACTCGAACTGCACCGTCTCCAATGCATCGATCCCTTCGTTCACCTCAACGAGAGACACACCGCGTGTAGCCACACGCAGCACATTTTCAATAAAACGCAGCGAGTTACCGACGATCGCCACGTCGGCCACTGTAAGGAGCTGTAAGAATCCTTTCAAGACATCCAGAGCCAATACCTTCTCCATGTGTGCAGCACTAGTCAGAGCGATGTTCGTCAGTGCGAAGGCCACTTCTCGACGCACTTCGTAGCTGCCGTCTTTGAACTGTTGTCCTAATAGAGGGAGCAACTGGGCCTGCATCAACTGTTCCACAACGGAGGCCTCAGTAGCTGCCAAGTTTGAGACAACCCACGCTGCTTCGGCCGCCAGAGACTTCTGTTGCGCTCCAGCCTGTTGTGGCTGTAAGAACTCGTTTAGTTTGGGCAAAACCACTGAGTCTGCACTCAATAAACGACGAACAAACGGCATCTGCCACTCGTCCGTGTGGTGGTCGGGCGATCCACAGCAAATATTGCCGAACACACGCAAGATCGGAGTCAGTAGCAGCTCGTTGTTGGTCGTGAAGTAGGGAAGTAGTAGATCCACCAGTCCGTTTTCCAACATGAGCTTCAGATACTCCTCTTCACGAGCGGTTAAGAAGCTCAAGAGCCACGCTACTTCGACCACGATGTCCTCACTGAACGTAGCAGGAGTTGCAGGTTGTGAGAGCCCTTTAACCACTACAGGGATGATTCCAGCGTCCACAAACGGCTTGGCGGGAGTCTCGAAGCCACGCGCTAAATTAGAGAGTGCCCACGCACTAGTCTTGGCTAGTTCCTTCTCACTAGGGTTACTTAGTAATTTTACCAAGGGTAACACCGCTCCATTGGCGATAAGTTGCTGACGGAACTCCTCGCAGTCCGCTGCAATGTTGCCCAACACCCAGGCTGAGTGTTCAGCCAAGGAATGATTGGATCCCTCCAGAAATTGGAGGAGGCGAGGTACGGCTGGAAGTACCAGCTTTGTGTGCTCGTATTGGCCGCTGGCGATGTTGGTGAGGCACCACAGGATCTCTCGGTACACTTCTCCGCCCGTACGAGTGGCGCTGGCTAGTGGTGAGGCGGAGTTGAGCAGCGAGACCATGACGGGCACAATCTGCCACAAATAAGAACCGTAAATTAGACTTTGCTGCCATAAATAACTTCATCTGTCCCATCGAGAGAGTCCCACGAGACTTATTTTTGATAGTGAAACACTTCAATAGGACATTTGACATCGGACACAACGTACTCCGGACTCGATGATCTGCTCCACCTGCTCGTAGTCGTTCTCGTGTCTGGCCAGCAGCACGCGGATCTCTTTGAGCGTCTCGAAGCGTGCCTGACTCTGGGCGGCAGAAGCATTGCTGGTGTCCCCCAGCACGCGAACTAGCTCGGCGATGCTACGGCCCGTAAGTGGCGGCTGCTCCGCTGACATGAGGCGCCGACGCTTCGTCTGCACGGCGGCTCGACGCTTGTCCTTGCGAACTTGAGCTGTAGTACGCTGACGTCGCGCCTTCAGCGCCCGCGACTCGGCGGCCGCATCGTGCTTCTTGAGCGAGCTGCGGGGCGTACGGGGCGGCATCTTTGTGCTTATGATGTGGAAATAGTCCAAGACACTATTTTGATTTTGACCAAAATAAGCACCACAATAGTCGAATCGTATACCTTCGTGCGACCTTCAATTGGTGCAACATTACGCTGGTGTAACATTTCCGAAGCGTCGGCTTCGACGAAGAGCCCCAGATCGTCACCATGGTGCGCTGTCTGCACTTGTCTCTCCCTCTGTATGCACCGCTCTAACCCCTTCTCACTGATGCGTGTGGCTAGCCTGGATACGAGGCCGAGGAGACCATCAAGCGCATTAAGAGCCACAAGGGGGTACAGGCCGTGCTCATTGTCAACCAGGAAGGCGTACCGATCTACTCGAGCACGAACGACGATGAGTTCGCCATGGACCACGCCGCACTCATCTCGCAGCTGGCGGCCAAGGCCAAGTCCACGATCCGCACGCTGGACCCCACGAACGACATGACTTTCCTCCGGATCCGCTCCAAGAAGCACGAGATAATGATCGCACCCGGTACGGCACGTGCTGGTACGACCTCTTGCATCTGTTTACACTATTGCTGATATTCGTTTGCTGCTGCAGACAAAGATTATGCACTAATTGTGATTCAGAACCCGAATCCAGGAGCCGAGGTTGATACTACCGAGAGCAACTGAGCGTTGTCTGCAGTTTAGTCTAGGACTATGCACATTAATTTCACACTTTGTTATGCACTAGACGCACCGTAGTGACGAGTATATTGGCAATTCTAAAATTTAATACGTACATAATGTCTAAGAAGCTGCGATGGTAATTCGGTCGGCTTGACTGACACATGAAAAAATATAAGTATTAATATAAACAAAGCCGTGCGGGCGCCCAGAGAAGCTCTGAATTTTATTGGAGCTTCTCTATTTCAAGGAGTTTATAAGAATGGATACATCGACGTAAGAAGATGAAGTAAACCTCAGTTAATATGTATTTGCTCGCACTCTTTCTGCTCGAGAACTCGAGAACTATCCGCCAAGCTAGTTGGTTGATTATTTGTTGCTGTCGAAGCAACTCATTACGTCCGTTGCTAAAACTAATGCTTGGGCTATCACATGCAAAATGAAGACATTCATCGCCGCAGAGAGAATTTGGCGATCTTTTCACGGTAAAACTCGAAAAAAAGGATTGAACTTTCGCTGGAAGAGCTTCAAATTCTCGACAAGATTTCACGCGGTTTTCCACAATGTAGCTTTTATTGCATGTTGCTCGAATGAGCCCGATAGCAGATTATATTTTAATATCTACAGTACTATCTGTAGTAAGTGTTGCTTGAACGAACCCTAGACCTGGATGGGTCAACACGCATAGATTTTAT